TGAACAGTATCCTATCCTACATCATTACGCTTGAGCCTATTGTAGTCACTATGCAGTACATCTTTTAAATAAATGTGTGTGTACCTGAAAAAAAGAAAAGTATTTATCTAATGAATTTCAAATGTACTATCTAATTCTGGCTTGCAAAAGTTAGTATTTTTATGATATCAACATTTTGCACATATATTTTTTTTTATTTTTTTTAAATTTTATTATTTTGTGTGTGTGTGTACCGTCAAATTGGATATGACTAGTACAGGAGGAGAGGATCTGATGGATTTGAACTGTGTGCTTTCAGGATTGCAGTGCAGCTTCTTGCCACTAGGCCACCAGAGCTCCCTTACATGTGTATATTTTACAGTTGTTTTTGTTGTTGTTGATTGCCATCAAGTCTAGCATGACTCATAGCTACCCCATGATCAAAGGTCTAAAGCTCTTCCAAAACCATCACCATTTATCAATATTCATAGAGTTTCTAGAGGTATGCTGTTTAGGAAGTGGATACTACTCCTCCTTCCAAGAATCTGTAGTATAGATGGCAATCTCAATAGGTTTATTGCATTTTCTTTCTCTAGGCATAAAGAATAAAGAGAAAGAAAACATTGGAAATATAAAGTTACAGTGAATCAGAATCAAATGATTCCTACAATTTGGAGGTCATCTGTAAATGCAATTTTACATTTAGGCAAATGTAAATATATAGTTATAAAGGTGAACAACTCAAATCCTTTTAGGCAAAGTAAAATTACAAAAATCAGAATTGAGTAATTCAGGTCCCATTTTTTTTCTTTAGGCATATTTTAAGGGGGTATCACTTATAATGTGAGTACATTATAATTGTACTTTCAGTTGTTCTTGATGTTCAGTGATGTCTAATTTCAATGAAGATGCTGTTTAGTCCCCATAAAGTAAGTGAAGCAGATAGAGGATTTTCAGAATGCCTTTTGAAGCAGTTTAAACAATTTTTCCAATGAAATAAATATTTTTATGCTTTTGTTTTATATCCTTGGAGAGGGACATCGTGCTTGTGAGGGTGGAGGGACAGTGCAGGAGGGGAAGACCCTCTATGAGGTAGATTGATTCAGTGATTAGGGTAATGGGAGTGGGTGTATCAGAGACAGTGAGACTGGCACAGGACAGAGCAGGGTTTAGGGCTGTTGTGTATAGGATCATTATGAGTCGCGGTGACCCGACAACACATAGCAACAACAACATTTCTGGAAAATAAAAGGGCAAGTAGTATATCAACTCTGGAGCCAAATTTTCTGGATTCTCTTATAAACCCACCGTTAAACTTACTGAATTTTAGCAAAAGTATTCAATTTCTTTATTTTCTAGTTCTTCAGTTATAAAATGTGCATATTAATTCTATCTATCTTATTGAACTTTATGGCATTTAAATGTGCTAAATAGGGATAGCAGCAGTGGCATCCACTTCCTAAAAATCATACCTCTGGAAACTATGAGCTTTGATAAATGATGAGAGTTATAGAAAGGCTTCAGAACTTTTGTTCATAGAGTTGCCATGAGTCATGCTCAACTTGATGGCAATCAACAACAACCCATAACATTCTTATTTTGACTCATTTAGTATCTTAAAGCCTTTAGAGTATTGCTTGACACATAGAAGACACCTTATATCCCCAAAAGCCATTGGTACTGAGTAGATTCTGATTCGTAACAGCCCTCCACTGAGTCTAAGAAAAAAAGGGGAGCACCACAACAAGATAAAGGTAAATAATCCAATTGAAAAATGGGCACAGGATATGAACAGACACTTCACTGAAGAAGACATTCAGATGGCCAACAAGCACATGAAGAAATGTTCAAAATCCCTAGCTCTAAGAGAGATGCAAATCAAAACAACTATGAGATATCATCTCACCCCAGTAAGAATAGCAAAATTTAACAGAACAGCAAACAACAAATGCTGGCAAGGTTGTGGAGAGACTGGTACCTTTATTCACTTTTGGTGGGAGTGTAAAATGGTGCAACCACTGTGGAAGGTGGTATGGTGCTTTCTCAAAAAGTTGCAAATAGAGATACTATTTGACCCAGCAACTCCACTACTGAGAATATACCCCAAAGAGACCATAACTGACATCCAAGCAGATATATGCACACCCATGTTTATTGCAGCTTTGTTCACAATAGCAAGGAGTTGGAAACAACCCAGGTGCCCATCAACAAACGAATGGCTAGAGAATCTGTGGTATATTCACACAATGGAATACTATGCTGCATTGAAAAACAAGGAACTCATGCAAAATGGGTGAGCCTGGAGGACATTATGCTGAGTGAAATATCTCAGTCACAAAAGGACAAATATTGTATGGTGCCACTGCTGTAAAATGGGACTGATATCAGGGTGGGGGTAAGACTGAGAAAAACTAGATAAATTGTGTATACTGCACTGAAACAGATGAGGGACTGAATAATTTAAAAGCGATGTATGATAGGGTATTATGGTTATCACAAGAGTCCACAATTAAGGTTGCATAGTGGAATGTATTTGGGGCCGTGGGCGGGGTGCAGGGGGATTGTGTACCAGGGAGGGAGTCTTTCTTTTACTTTTGAAAGAAAGGAGCGAACTAGGGGACGGGGGCTTGGGGGGAGAAGGCTGGGCGGATAGAGAAGTGCAGCAATGAATGAATGGAAATCCAAATTCTCTGTAAATGTTCATTAAAATTATTTAAGAAAAAAAGGGGCTGCGCCTCTGAGAAACTGTTAG